ATAATCGGATATGGTGTATGCAACACTGCCGGCTTCTCTACATGGTGAGTATTCATCCAGTCAGTAGCCGGCAACTCGGGGTTCGACTCCCCGCGTCCGCTCGTCTTTATCTTCGTTCGTTCTTTTTCCTTAGCGTGCACGTTGACCCTATTCTTTTTTTCTCCTTAGACTAACTCAGCTCACCGCCTGTAGATTTCCCGTCCTCGGGCGCCGTGCTCACCTCTGAGGTTTTTCCTTATTTTCTTTTGCCGCCGATTCGTGGACACATGCTCCCGCGAATTTGTCTACTTGTCTTTTCTCTGAATCCTTCAATCTCAATTTTCACTGACTAACTTGAGGTAGGACCTCACGGTCTACGAAAATCGGACGTGGTGTACGGAAACCGGCGAGCGTCATTGGGACGGCGGAACCTACGAGAATTACCATGTCTCGCATTCCGGGGTTCAATCCCCCCGTCCGAAATTCGAATCGAAATGGTGTCCTCCTCATTTTGCTTCGTGTATTCATTTCAGCCACCGCTCTCTACTCGCTTCAAATATGCGTCATCCACAATCTCTGCCCAAAACCCTCTGTCTTGGCCAGAAGTCATCTTCTATCGATTCTTGCTGTCTTTTGTCGCAGCGTCACGTCTGTTTCGTCCGCCGCACGCGACACCCGCCACCGCTCATCAACTCCCGCTGGGTCGGACACAAACATCGCCCTCCGTCCGCCGCCGCGCGGCCCCGACTCCAGGGGGATGCACCCACCGCAATCCACACATCCGCCGGTGTCCATCCATGCCCGCATCCTCGGCCGCCTACGTTCGCAGACCCACCGCCGCGCGCGCCTCGCCCACATCCGACAGTACAGCGCCTCATGGCCCGCGTCACCACAGAAAGAAAAGGGAAGAAAATGTAAAGAGGAGAGGCGCACGCCGGGGGCTTGAGGGCGGGGCTTGAGGCGAGCTTGCTAGCGTATTTCGGGGGTGGTACTACAAGCCGGCAAAAGGGAAGATTAGATAGTGAAGGAGGGAGGGAGGAGCGGAACGGAAGGACGCCTTACCTGCCTCAGACACGGCGGCGCGGAAACTCGAAAGTCTCGACAGCGAGCTTGCGGGCGGGCGTTCCGGTATCATATAGGACTGTGGGGCGGGGGATGCGTCAGCTTGGAGACGCGGAGGAAGGAACATGCGTACCTTCCCTGAATCCTTGGACACGGCGGCGAGAGACATGCGCGAGGCGTGGGCGCTGAGCGTGATGACGGCTCTTGAGTATAATATGTACTATGGGGCGCGGGATGTATCGGCTTGGAGAGAGATAGAAGAGGGTGAGGAGACGCCGTGCCTTGCTTGGACACGGCGGTGGGGGTGTTGGGGCGGGGCGGGTTTGAGGGCGAGGGTTGATGAGCCCGCCCGAGTTGGTCTCCGACCGTCTCGACTCTAGAGTACTGGAGAGGATCTATTGAGACACAGTGAGGAAACAAAGAAGACGCCTTACCTGCTTCAGGACACGGTGGCGGGATCTTACGGGGCGTGAAAGTGGGCTTGCGCTTGGGAAGATGAGCTTGAAGATAGTACTGTTGGATATATTAGCATACGACGATGGGGAGAAAGAATGAGAGGAAGACGAATGCCGAATGGATGATAGAAGGACGGGTACGTAGAGTCGCCACTGGGATGTACGGAAGGCAAATGGAGATCCAGCAGTAGCGAGGAGAGAAGGGGAGAGAACGAGCGGGAAAAGAGAGCGCGCACCTTGTATGTCCTCGCGTGAAGCGGAGAAAAGTCCTCCCTTGCCTCATGTCTTCGTGCTTCGTGTGATGGAAATCCAGCTTTTTGTCGTACCCATAGGCCGTCGTTTCTGTAGGAAAGGGCTATCTGGGTGTACACGGAGCGCAGGGGTACAGAAACGCAACACGCATGCGAGGGTATGACAGAGCCGCGTCGTGGCAGTCATGGGGCACGTCCATACGCAGTCCTCACTCCCGAGAGAGACTTTGCCGCTGGAGCGAGCCTGAGCTGGAGTTCGAGAGCGAGACAAACAGATGTAGTACCCATTGGACGCGGCACGCACGCGACAGCGGGATCGCGTTTTCGCGCCCTGCCACGCGCCGCCGATGAGCGGTCGTCTCAAAGGCCATCTCGTATCGTCCGCAGCCCCGCCGTGTGTGCGTCCACATCCCGGGTGACCGTTCCATCAGCGCGTCCCACAGGTTCCCAGGCCCCGCGCAGAAACGTCCAGTGCTGGATGCCGAGGCGTCGTACGCAAAGGTGGGTTCCCTCACAGACATGACGGCGATATCAAAGTGGACCTGGGCCTGAAAGGTGCCTATCGAAGGACAGTCGAGGCGTGGTGAAAGATGTACTGGCGCGAAGGGGGCCAGCGTCGCCAGTGTCCTTCGCCCGGAGTCTTGAATCTGACGCTGTCGGGATTGCGAGTCTTGGCTTCGCAACTGTCCGCCGTTCATCCAGCTCCACCCAGCACGCTAGCGCGCCCTCCAACGGTCTTCTGCAAGGGGTATTCCCTCCAGTCCGGCTGACACTGAGAGACGCTTGCCCGCGCTGAGTGAAATGAAGTCGGAAGAGGAAGGAAGAGGAGGATGCCGGCAGACGCCGTGATGTGTGATCACTGATCAGGTTGATGGCAATCATTCCCGTCTCCGCTGTCTCATGACTCTCATCTCGTCGATCGCGTCGCCCTTGGTCTCTTCCGTTCGGGCTCCCGTTCCCCGAGACGTACTCACCAGCTGTAACTCTCGTACGACCACCTGCAACTGTCCTGCCGGATCTTGGGCGCCGGCGTCCGTTATCACAGACTACAGTCATTCATGCGACACTCAGGCAGTACACGCAAGGATTGACGAGGCAGTTGCTCGGGCGTCCAGTGGTGTCTGATCCAACATTATCTCGCACCTCGGGGTTCGACTCCCCGCGCCCGACTGTTTTAGGATTCCAGGAAGATGAGTTCTTTTCAATTTTCCTTGAGCCATGTTTACTGCGTTCCCCTGGTTTCTCAAAGCTCAATGGAATACGCAGTATGCTGTGTGATTCATCTCCGCCTCCCCTCTCACATTTGTTGCTGGCCATGGAACCAATCCCGACTGACCAGCTTCATCCAGGAATGACGGGAGCCACAACTCGGACGTGGTGTGCGGCACACCGCGAGTGCGTCTGTGACAAGAGAGAGAGAGGATTTCTCGCAGATCGGAGTTCGACTCCCCGTGTCCGAATAATGTACATTGTAGGTCGCTGACATGGAAGCCGTTTTTTCTTCTTCGCTCATCCGATCTAAGCTCCCTGTGTACATCTTCATCCAAATTCCGAACGTGGGTGGCTTGCGCCCTCTCCTCAGCACGCAACACTCTCTCAAACAAACCTTTCTTGCTGCAATAACGGCCCCCAGTATGCTGTGCTCGTACTTTTCGCACAGAATTTTTACTGGCGCGCTTGATCTAGGAATCAACAGGCCAAACACTCGGATCTACTGCGTTGAACTATCTCGCCCAACACAGTATCTCGCAGTGACTGCCTTTCCATTGCATTTCCTAGACACCCAGACTGCTCAGTCGCGCAGGAAATTTGCTGTCTTGGATTCCCTCTCCGACTTGAAACTCAAGCTACTTCTCCCTGCGCTTGAATGGGCATCGGGCCAGAATCCTTTTTGGGCTCGGCCCAAGTGACTGTGAATGCCCTCCCCGTTTCGTTCCTCAATACCTGCAGCTGCCCAGCCTGAGTTTCCCATTATTCAAGACCTCTTCCTTGTGTTTTATAACCCCATTTTTGCTAACCGCATGCACGCAGGATTAAGGATGCAAGATAATCGGGCGCGGTGGACGCAACAAGGCCAGCTTGCCTACATGATCTGCGCTCAACCAGGCAGTAGCCGGCGATTCGGGGTTCGACTCCCCGCGTCCGAATAACGGACGTTTCCTCCTTTTTCTTCATCGAATCGGCCATAGCTCTCACCCCATCCCCAGCCACAGATCTCATCCAAAGTCTCGTACAATGCTTTCCTCGGTATGCGTGCCCCAGAAATATTTTTTGGTACAATAACAGCGCCAAAGAAATTCTCACTCAGTCAACGGTTGAAGTAGGAATTATGTGATGTGCCGCTGCCCTTGCAATTGATGAACACGCATGAAGATCCACTGGAAGCTCATGTTCTGCACTCCGGGGCTCGACTCGCGCCGGATGCGCGAGAGCTAAAAGAAAATCATCTACCAGTCTATCAGAACCTATCTTGATAACGCCACAGGGGAGAGCGGAGTCCAACATTTACGCACAGAAATGACATATGCGTCCTCTGACGACCCAGGCAAGTGTGTTTGATAAGTTCGATTTCCCTCCGACCGAAATCAAGCAGAGCTTCAGAATGACCGCTTCACCATGAGTGTTTTCACATAAACACAGGGCGGGCTCGCAGCGCAGCCAGAAACCGGTGCCAAATAACAGCTATAGTGGTCAGCCTGACCTGACGATGAACCTTGCCCGATCTAGGTAGTCTATGATTTTAAAGTTGCCATAAGTAAGCGCCGACTTGAGCTTGACTTGAGCTTCTCCAATTCTTATCCGTTCTTCCCCAATGTCGAGTGTTTTTCCGGCACACCACGGAATGGAAAGAGTACCGCACTGCAATGCAACCTAACTTGTTTCGCGACTGAAGAGAGGCACGGTCACATTGGAAATCGATCAAAATTGATCGCGCTTCCGGATATGGGTTCTTGCTTGCTCTCACCTCCAGATCACACACACGTCGAAGTGTGGTGTCAAAGTGCAACTCTACCATGACGTATGCTGCCCGGAACGTGTGTATCCAGTCGGTATTCCCCGAGCCTTGAGGTGACCGATTTGCGGAAAGAAATGCAAATGATGTGGACTCAGTGCTGTTGTATTTCCCCACATGGTTAGTGTAGTGGCTCAAGAGGAAGCGGGTTGCCTTGCTCAACACGCATGGAAGAAACAGGGGGAACAGGGACCAAAGATAACTGTGGTATTGCAGGACCGGAACGCGGCGGAACAAAAATACACTCAAGGGGAGTCGAACCCCTGCCGCTTGCTGCCGCGGTTACAACATTTCTGTTTTGCCTGGAAGGCAAGCATGATAACCGCTTCACCATGAGTGTGTTGTGCATGCACCGCGATGGAGGTATATACCGGCAAGTCCTCCAGAATTTTCTCTGATTTTTCCTGAATTAATTGGAATTTCCACTGAAGAAATACAGTCGTCATGATTTTCTTGTAAAGAAAAAATGCACTAAGTCAGCATCAAAAGTGGACTTGTGAAATATCCTTACAATGAGAGGGACAATTTCCGGTTTACATGGTTTAAGACCGTTAAAATTCTTGATGGCTTGAGACACGTCAGGTTAACAAAAATCATTGTGGTTTACAGGAGTGCGACCAAGTCAGATAGCTGGTGCAGTTGTATGCCCCATAAATTTGGATGGGAGTTTCTGTTTGTACATACATGTCCGAAACAGGTCTGAACTCCAAGGATGCCTTTGTAGAACGGGATAAGGAATGAGGCTCCGTTCATTCCAGTACACAGAACGCAACTTGATTGCGCCTGGCTTTGCCATGCCCATGTTTCCACCATGCATCAAGACAAGGAGGAAGAAGGGGTTGAGGAGGTTGTGTGGATTTGCAACTGGTTGGTGATGTGCAAGTTGGCAACCAACAGTAAGCTTCCGGTCTGCCTCACCCATCACAGTTTCGGCCACATGTGCCCAGCATGCCCAGTATCAATCTTCAACTTTACCTATCCTCACAAAGCAAGCATCATATTAAAAGGGAGCAGGCAGATTGTATATAGACTCCTTGCAATAACAGTGTCCTTGAGATTTAAAACACTGGAGCACGTCTTGGAAAGCAGCAATAAGTAGCTCACAGATTGGGGTCTGACTGCCTGAAATACGAGGTCGGCAAGCTCTGAAACTCTGGCCTGATACAGTTTAACCCAACTTTGAGAATGGATCAATCCATGTATGCTGACTATTTTGGGTTGATTGAAATGTCGAATAGGCAGTTAGCCAATTGATATCCTAAACTTGACACTCGCGAGCACTT